TCTGTCTCAAATTGCACATCTCCCTCTCGTGATCAAGATCTTCAGCTCTGAACTGGTGGGAGGGCCACAGTGAGAGGTGGGACTGGCTCTCAGACTGGACCCTGATCTTCTCGACAGAATTGAGGCAAAGAAAAACGACATCGAAGACAACTTGTCAGACACGCTGAAAGAATGGTTGAAGAAGTCGTATGGCACAGAGAGTTTTGGGGATCCGTCATGGAAACTGCTGGTGGATGCAGTGGCTCATCCTTTTGGAGGCAAAGACCGTGCCCTTGCCATGGAGATTGCTGCCAAGTACAATGGTAAGTTTAACTGGTCATACACCTTATCCCTTGTGTTGTTCTCACAAATACAAATCACTAGAGGAATGCAACCACATTTTTGACGAGCTTGAAAGCGAGGAGTTCAGTATTTCCCGCCTGTGTTTTCACATGTATAAACATTACAGTGCGGCAGTGCTGGGTGTCATAACATTATAACATAGAACAATTCCACATTCAGACTACTAGGTGGGCTCGCTTTGCTCACCAATTAGATTTTTCCTCTCTCTCTTCCACAGTGCCAGCTCCACAATAGCCGAACCAACCTCACTTACATCCATATTGAACATACCGGTATCTTCACACATTATTATTGGCTGGCTAAGCAAGCCTACACATTTTCCTTATTATTCCTTATGATATCCAATACTGTCACACTGAAGAATGTGCATGCTGCGTAACATCATGTGGAGCAGTTGCGAGGTCACACTCTAATAGACTTACTTGTGTTATCTCGCCAGAAAGCTTGTTCCTAAAGTTTGACTTCACCTGAGCCCTTGAAAACATAGTTGTAAAAACACTACCACTGGAATTTCCAGAAACCATCAGCGCTGTAACAAAAGTGTGAAGTACAGGGTTCTTGTATAAACAGTTTACACAATGACTTCCAGGGCCACCCTTTCCCACTTGACCTTTTTGTGGGCTGTTGGAACCTTCTTAGGTCTAATGTAGCAACAGCAAACACAAACCCTCATCACTGTGCTGCAGAAATCTCGACTCTCTCATACTCATGGCAGCTAATCATAATAGACTTGAGATTGAGAAAATACTTTTTTTGAGAGACGAGGCAACATACAACAAATACAGGTGACAATTGATCAGACAAACGGAGAGAAAAGGCAACACACAAACACCGCTGCATAGAGAAACACACATTCACACACAGACTGTAAATTATGACACTGAGACAAAGAGTTTGGGTGTGAATCTTGAGGCACAGTGAGTAGTGCCTGATGTGAGGATCCAGGATAGAGACAATATTGAGAGTGTGGGGGGCAGCCCCTTGCTTAATGAAACGTAACGACAGAAGAAAGAAGGAGTGTTGTGGAGAGTTTGACCTCTTCTTTCTTGGGGTGGTAGTGGGAGGTGGAGCGGGTCAGCTCAGAGCTGCTCATAGTCTTGTGTTTGTGCTGTCGAGGGAGAGTGGTGGAGCGTCTGGCCGGGAGCCCGGGGCCCTCTGACGAGGGAGACATGGCTCTCTGCAGCAGGGGTGAGGTGTGCGGGGAAGGGTGCTTCGGTGTGGGCAGCTCGCAGGCACTCTGGGACTTCTTGTGCATGACCAGCTGGGACTCTGTGACGCTGTGCCGCTCCAGTCTCTTGGTGTAGATGGGGGGAGAGTTGGGGGGCGTGGTGAAGGAGGCGGAGCTCAGGTTCTGCACGGAGCCGGGAGGGGAGGAGTTTGGGGTGATGATCTGTGCGAGGGAGACCGGGGAGGTGCTGCGAGCCAGAGGGGACACCGGGGTGGGTCGTCTTCGCGGAGTCATCTTGGACACAAGCTTCTGCTTGAAGGACTCGGTCCTGGCTGGAGACGAGGAGTGTTTTGGTGAGGGTGTGCTGCTGGAGGAGTGGCCAGAGCTGTCCACTCCTTTCCTGTCCCTCCCTCGCATGCGACTGATGAACGACTTCTTCTTTATTCGACCGCTCCCGCTCGAGCGGTGGCGGAAGAGCTTCCCCACTCGATGACCCAGTGTCGGCAGCCTCTTCTTCTTGTCCTTGCGAATGCTGGTGTCCTCAAGAGGAATGGTGTTGATGTACAAGAAAGAATTGTGTTTGTCGATCATGAGTTTCATGACTTGTATGTGGTGGAGTCCGATGACCGACTGACCGTTGATGTGCGTCACCAGGCAACCTTTCCTCAGACCTGCCTCCCACGCCGGACCTTTCTTGTCCACTTTCTGCAGGAAACATGTACAAAGGGAGAGTTTGTCACGTTTCATAACACGTATGTATACAGTACAATGTAAAGGAGTCTGCAGCATGCAATACCATACCTCAATGATGTGGTGTATTCTGTAGTCGTCAGTCTGTCCGATGTAGACTCGAATGGCCTTGAGGATCATGCCGTAGCCACTGGGACCTCTCTTGATTGCGTATGTACTGGTGACCATCTGGGAGTGCCGCGGGCTGCTGAGAGGACTGGCCTCGGCCACGCTGCTGCTGGACCCACTGTCCTGAACTCCCGCCACCACTCCTGAGAGAGAGAGGCAAGGCAACACCGAAATTGAGGTTAGCAAGGCTTTAGGGAGACGGTAGGCTAGGGTCTGATGACATTGAAGGACGAAAGGTGTGTGTGCTTTTTACCATACAAAGCGGAACCCCTCTAATTGGGACACGACAGAAGGGGTCATTAAGCCAATCAAATCACTGGATACTAACTGTGGAAAGGTGGGTGGCCTAAACTTTATCGTACTTTTAGCGAGGATGTAAGAGTAAGGACAGGCCAACCAACCAGCACCAGCAATCTGACCATGTCTGGAGAGTGCAGTGCTCATGAGCAAGCAGCGCTCATAAACCACACAGACAGAGAATGATGCTAGAAATCCCAGCAAGGCTCTAACACCTTAGATCAGAGGTAAGGGAGACACCTAATATCAACGCATTACATGCAGCCCGCTGATATGGGGAAAAGAGGAAGTGGTGCTTTCAAATCCAAATAGAAACGCCATGCACTATGCACTGGAACAAGATACCCATTCAGTAGTACTGAGTCAAAGCACGGGCCACTTCATAACTTGCCGTATGGCTTAACTGTTACACATGCTGCAAAAGAAGCTCAGTGCACGAACACCATCTAGACTAGTGTATTGAAGCCACACCCACCAGGAGTGGGTGGACACACAGTGATGTCAGCGATGGAGATCTGAGAGATGTCGTCGCCGAGGCCAGACCTCCTCTGCGAGAGACACGAGGCAGCCGTGTACGAGTGGGTGGTGATGGAGGGAGGGGGAGAGGTGGGCATCTGTTGGAGTGGCTCTGGGGTCTTCTCTCCCTCGTCCAACATTGGTTCCTCATCACTCACCTGCAGCAACACATGATGACAGAGAATTATATAATGTACGGCCGAGAGTACTTTAAACAACACTTCTCAGGCTAACACAGCAGATAACTACTAGAACCAATGCAAAACGAATGCGAGTAGTTCAACTTTACGCACACGTTCATTACTGTATGTGCAGTGGCAGTGCCCATCACCACATTGAGACGACTAGCTTAGGCTCAGTTTGCTCGCCTAGCAACGTGTGCACACACACCTCATCAATTGTGGTGACAATGTTGTCCTCTTCTTCTCCCTCTGGTGCAGCGTCTCCTGCCCTCTCACTGCCACCACCACCAGTAGTTGTACTAGTGTTGGCAACACCAGTGGCAGTCCGGAGGATCTTGACAGTCTCGGCCGCCGTCGGCTGGCCAGAGGACGGCACTACCTCCTCACTGCTCACCGGAGTGGGTGTGGTCGACGATGACCCACTCAGAACTGGGGGTTGGGAGGAGACAACACTTGTTTCACCTGCTGCTTTACACAATATACACAGTTGCAGTCTAAAGAAGTCTTTGTGTTCATGTGTCAGGTATTCCTTGACTCAACTGAACAGAGAACTGTAGTATACACTTGTAGTCTAAAGGAGACGTCAAGCATTTGTGAGCTTTTTCTTGACTCACCGAACACAGAACACAACTTCAGTTGAGCAGACAAAAAGCTCATCTTATAATATGGCATCACCACTGACCATCGCACACACCACAGAGGAAAGATAGTGTGCCTGAATCACACATGATGCCTCCTGGCCTAGTGGAGATCTCTTGTTTAGTCTCTTTACAATAAGACGTAGCAAGTATTGTAGTGACCGACTGTAAGAGGTGTCGAGCTGGGGAATAAAGAACTCTGCCTTCTCTCTCAGCAGATTCTGCCAGTCCACTTCCTCAAAGAATGGATGATCTCTCACACCAGTATCACCAGTTTATTAGGTCAACTACTGCCAGATTCAGTGCAGTTTGCTGTTTTTTTTCTTTCTCACAGCTGCTGTCAGTGTCGCCATCAGGGAATGCTCTCTCTCTGGTGTTCTGTGACCAGGACACCATCTCCTTCTCTAAGTACATCAACCACAGAGCTGACTCCTCTGATAGCAACTTCTTCTGCGCTGCTTTCACCTATAAAGCTAGAGTACTAGTAGTAAACCCACGTCCACACATGCGCTCTAATCACGTGATTGCTGCAAATTTCGGTTTTTGGGTGTGGCTTAAACAGACAACGAATACGTGCTGTTCTTTCTTCTTAGTTTAGCTTGTAGCGCAGCAATCTAGATATGGCGGACGTCAAACCAGGAAGGAGGAGTCCTCATAGTTCCAGACAAGGGAAGAGATGTTAGTATGCACCCACCAACCTCGACTGTGTATGGTTGATCAAAGATGGGAGCTACCAGATTCTCACGTGAAAATTAGCTGATGCTTACGATATGTCCATTGAGAATGTAGAGCAAGAAAAAAGTTGCACACAATGTTAAGAGAGAGCCACTCTAGCACTTCAGGCTCATAGACACACTAACAGCCAGTAATGATCTCTGCAGACTCCAAACATGTGCCACTGAGCAGAAGAAAGAGTCCTGAAAGCTCCAGGAGCAGGAGAGGAAAGAGAAGTGAGTGTGGTCACCCTTCTTCTTTTATGTGTGTGGCTTGCTACTCAAAAGACAGCAGACAGTATCAGCGGGCATGAGCATGCAGCGAGGGTTTACAGTACTTGGTCTGTGTGTGTGTCTGTCTCTCTGTCTGTCTGCAGCTATTCTGGCACTTCAGGCTATGTGGCGGCCAATGAGTGATACCAACGGCTTCTGAACTACGCAATCGAAACGACTGTGTTCGAGAGATTGGAAACAAGCCAAAAGGCCAATATGCATAATCGCTCTGGCTTGTACCTCAACCTTGTCCGCTCGCTCTGTGTACCTTGGAGGAACAAGAAGTCACAACAAAGGACGTGAATCGACTCTAATGCTATCTACTAATGTAGCTGAGCTACTAGCAGCAGACCACGAGTAAATGCATACTCAAGTGCACACACATACAGTTTAGAACGTCCAGGAGATATACAGCCAACTCCTGGTTTTGTATATTGCATCAATGTGCCATGGGGTACTGTGTCTATTAGCATTCCGCACAATGAATAGAAGTTACTCCCTCGATCTGCATGGGGAGAGTAGTCGTTTAGGAATGTATGTAGCATACATAGCTGGGGGTAATAGCAGCACTCACTACTACGAAGGGTGTAACTGGGCTCACTAGTACATACTTTCTGGGGTAATACATAACTGGGCTCTCTACTACACCCAGTGTGTTGACTGTTGTCTCTGGTGTGTGTTGCTGCAGGTGTTCCTCTCACTCCCTCCAATGTGATGAGAGAAGTGAGGGAGGTGGGGGATTGGTGGGAGAAGTTTGGACTAGGGTACTATCTCTACATACCACGGTCAAAGAGAGAGGAGATTAGACAGAAGTTCCCAGATGAGATGGAGCAGAAGAAACAGCTGATTTCTTACTGGATTAACACCGACCCACTGGCAAGCTGGAGGAGACTCATTGTGGCACTAGATCACATGAAAGAAACCAAGATGGCTGACTCCATAAGATCCTATGCTGAACCTCTCACTGGTAAAGAACAAATGCAACTTTTTATTGGCCAGCTATTCAGAATTACGTGAAATGTTACGGCTCCGTATACATAAACTAATTCTATTTTGGAACCATGGTCAATTTTCTCCTAAATTAAAGCATAAAGCACAAACAAAAGTAATCTTATATACATGTAAACACACACGAATAAATGAAAAACCCCATACATACATGTGTGGCAGCCTCTCAGTGGCTGGTGTTTAATCTACTATAGCTATCATTGTCTGTTGTGATGTGATGTACAAGTGGTGTTCCTCCCTACCAGACGACAGTCTCACTACACACACACTGCTACCTGCTGTGTCCTCTGTGAGACACTTCTGGGGGGAGAGATGGTGATGTGGATGTGTTGGGGCTGCTGCAGGTGCTTGGTGTCCCCTGGTCAGTGATGGATAATATGAGGGCCAGTCCGTCACACTCAACTGAAGAGGTGAAAAGGACGGCAGGTCTACAGTACTACCTCCAGACAGTACCTGGTGCATCATGGGAGGTTATAGCTGGAGTATTATGGTCCATGGAGGAGCACACAGCCCTGGAGGAAGTCAGGCAACATCTACAACCTACATGTGGTGAGTGAATTTTGTTGCTTCTGCTACTGATTTTGATTCCGTCTACACTACCGTGTCTACCATAATTTGTTGTAAGTTCAAATCAACACATGTAGTGGCTTACAGTAATGTATGTTGGCATGGTAACGATAGAGTCACACTCTGCATCCACATAATTAGATGTATGCAACGGTGCCGTCATCATCATCATTGTAAGATACATGGAGAACGGCACAGGCTTGTTTCACTCCCCAATCATAGTTAACT